GAGTACTTGAAGCAAAATTTTCTGGTCTCAAGAGGTTAAATTTCATCTTTCATTGAAACTACAAGAAAATGAGTATTCTCTTCTCGCTCTTTATTTATGTAGTGCAAGGGGTCGGACATGAGGACTGGATACTGGATTGGCTAGCCTGGAGCCCGGATAAGTTTATCTTTTACCCTTCATAAAAAAGTCCAGAGAACTGGGCATTCCCTCTAGACTTTTCATGAAGGGTAAAAGATAGTGGACTCTAGCTTAGTGATACCCTATAAAGCATAATCACCAAATCAGGTTTCTCGCAATACAGGGCATCGCTGCAGTTTGGGCCTTATTGAATACTTCACGATTGATCGTTATCGATCGATCGTGATAGCTCAAGGCCCCTCTGCATCGTACCCTAGTTAGTTTTGATAAGGATTTTTCTAATCCGCCTTCATCTTTATTCGAGTGAGGTTCATTTGTAATTCAGTACTATCTACAAAGTAATTCTGTAAGTAAAGGCTTCAATGCTTCAATGATGAGCAGTCTGGCAGACCTTCTTTCTACTTAGGACATGACTACCCTTAAAATGATTGCGTTGGCTGGAGGTCCATCGGGCAATCAGGCCACATTACTTGTGAGCATTTAGATTTCTTGTAGATCTTTTTGAGTCGGGTAGAAGGTCTACAGAGATGTTCATAGGTGTTCTGCATTTCAGCGTGCTCTGTCCATTCTTCTACGGAAGCACCAATTTCGGCCCTTCGTTGTCCCGAACGCGGTAGATTTTCCTATTTTCTCCAGGTTCAGGGAATTAGCATACTTTAATATACTCAGATTGGTTCACTTTCCTGATGAAGATGATGGTTCACTTTGCTCAATGCTTATTTGATTAATTTTCTTTATACTTGTTCTCTATCGTCAAACTGTACAGAAAACTGATTACTGCTAGTCAAAATGAAGTTGGCAATTCCAGATGACACAAATGGAATCCTTCGGACTGTCATTCCGGCGAGATTGCAAAAATGAAGAGGATCTGCTCAAATGGGAAGGGATACAGTCGAGATTACAATCTGAGCAGGAGCAGGTTCGATGTTTTCACAGCAGAGCAAACGATTTAATGCTGTTTTGCTTCGAAATATTTTTAAAAAAATCAGAATCAAAAGAAGATCGGAAGGCTCGTCATGTGAGAATTGCGGTATAACTCTAAAGCTACAGTTTGAGTCTTACTCAGTTTGTATTCTGCAGATGGGTATTGAAAGAACTTTTAGTGTTGAGGAACTGCTATCTGGTGTTGTAACGACGAAATACGGTCTGGAAATGATGTAAGAAAGGCCTAAGGTCTGCGAGCTCTGATTGACGGAGTAGAAGGAGGATGGGGTCAGCAGCTTTCAGGCTGAACTCATTCTAGGCCTTTTTCGTCGTACCAGCAGCGCACACCCTGTTCATGAGAAGCCAAAGTTCCTCTTTAGTATCTGCAATACTACGCTACCTGGTCAGGGTCTGAGCCTTCAATGAGGGTCGTGGTTTATCCAGTGCTTCTACCTCTCTAACATGTCTTGTACCAATTAGCAGGGGCCAGACAAATGGAAAGTCTGTTGGCTTAGAGTTACGGTCTCCCATACAAGGTAGGGACGCCATATGTCTTCATCCTCCTCAACTTTAGCTTATACAGTTGAACGAGTCAGAAGTGAGGTCTGAACTGCTTGGTTTGTCATACATAACAATTTCAGCTGTTGATGTATGCCATTCATAAATTTGAATTTAAAAATCCAGTGGTATTAGTGGACCGGACACTGCCGAGGGACTATCTTAACAAGGTACGGTAGGTTTAGTTTCTTTACTAGATTTCCATTACTAAAATAGTCTGTCTATCTGTAGAATCAGCACCAGATTGTCGTACCGAGAAAGTGAACGACTTAACCTGTTTGTCTGGCTCTAACTACATACTACTCACATCCCATGGTGGGGCTTGGTAGAAGACACTGCTGTGGACGTTGAAACGTAGGGCGCTAGTACGTTGGTGGCCTGGTGGGCCATCATGTCTATTTATGTCCTAATCTTGATCATACTTATTCACGGTTAAAACCACGAGCTGATTGACGCTTTTCGATTTCCATGGCTGTGTTCCGGGAGCCCTTCATCCTTTACTGCGGAGTAAAATTGGCTTTGAAAACATTCTAAGCCTCAGGACAGTCGACTCGAGCTTTGTGAAGTGGCCAGACATTTCCCGGAGGACACAGCTACTGACTTGGTAACTATTAGGTATTACAGACAGGTTTAATGACGTTCACCTACTGATAAATGGACCATGTCCAGAATGGCATCGAGAGTTCAACAAAAACAGCATTATAGTAGCATTTTAAGGCACAGTTCGATCTCCTTGTCCAGAAAGCCAGCATGTGCAATCGCGTACCACTTGATAGATATTACGGTGTAAGCTCTGAGCCTTATTCACCCTTCTGAGCTCCTACTGATCATTGATTTGCAGGTGATATACATGCGAACTACGACAGTTGAGGAGCAGAAACTTCTCTATAATAGACACATTTGGACAAAAGAGGAATGGGAAAAAGTGTGGAAAGATATGGAGCAGATACGTAGGAGGAATGAGGAGGTATGGCCGAATTAGGCGTTTTCCACGGTAGAACTGCGCGGCTTCTAAAAAGTATGTATAATGCCAGTATCTTATAATGAAGACAAGGTAGATTTCTGAAATGCGCCCGGCAGTCGGCTGCCATCCAGAGTCGTAGTGGCATTTGAGTAGTCATGCGGTTCGCCCGAAGCCTCACGCCAACCGTGTGTTTTGTTATACAAGTCAGTGTTTTATCCTCCTGGACGAGTTTGCCTCTAGTCAGTCGACCTGCAGCCGTGACAAACTCGGCTGACCTGGCGAGTATCAGGTTCGATCCGCGGCCTTTGCGTGGTTATTGCGCCATTTAGCAAGATATCGTCCCCGCCTACAGAGGTTGTTCCTCAAACAAAATAGAACATAAGGAAACTGTGGGAGGAAGCTCTACATGCATATGGGACATTGCTTTCTGTCAAAGACGGGTTTGTTCCCGATTCTACTTCAAGCTACTTCAACTCCATATCCCGTCGCTGTTTGCCACCAATCTCGATTGTACGAGATGGTCGGGGTAAGAAACTGTACTCTGTATTCTGTACGGTTTTTTACCCCGACCACCTCTCCCAGAGAAATTTGGTTGGTTCACGAGTAATAACGGCTCCATTAGACTATGTTTATGTCCACTTCGACATCCCAAAAAAAACCAAAAACACACTGGTCTGACGAATCCTTGCTCTCTTTCATATAGAGAATATGAAACGGAGAATTTCGTTCCAGGTCTGGAGTCAACATACGAATTTCCTTCTTGTGGACGTGTCCTCCAAAGATAAATTTCGGAAGAAGTTGCAAATGGCTTGTGTCAACATAGCCCAATTGCTGGATTTCGAGCTAAAACGTGGGTTAGGTCACAGTTACTTTTACCCTTCTCTAATTCTGGTACCCAAGGTAAGGCTACAGTACCCTGGCAATCCCAGCTATTTTGGTTTGGCATAGGCGTTGCGGTGAAGGAAATAGTACCTTCACCTCTCAGAAGTATTCTTCAGTTTTGTTTCCAACTA